AGATTGTGTGAGAAAATTGAGAAATTTTACAAATTGAGAAAAATTTTTCGACTGATATTGCTAAAATGCCAGATATCAGCATTGGGGGAACCGATTTTATTGGGCAAAGGCTCATTGTAAAGAAAAATAAGCGAGACAAGCAAAGTCGTCTTTTGAATATCGCGTGACTGACGTTTGGAGGATCGTTGCAGGTGGATTATGTCTTTTCCCTACTCCTAGCAATCTTTGTGACTGAATTTCTGAAATTCACGTCACAGGACATATATATCACACTACAGTTACTAAATAAAAAATGATTAATAAATGATTAATTAACCGGTAAAGCGGTAATGAAACAATCAAATCATGAAATGACTGAATTTTTTCATGAAGAGACAGGTTAAGATAGTAGCCAACAGCTGAGGCCATATAAACAGAAGACTACACGTGTCCAATGGCTCGTTGCGCATACGCGTTTCGAATCGTTATGCCTGTGTCGCGTCGAAGCTCATACGTATATGCGAGGGGACAAATTTTTTAAGATTGTGTGAGAGGAGACAAATAATTGAGAAAAATTGTTCGACTGATATTGCTAAAATGCCAGATATCAGCATTGCGGGAACCGATTTTATTGGGCAAAGGCTCATTGTAAAGAAAAAAAAAAGAAAAAATATTGGACCTGACACATTTTTCGCCCACGACATATACCCGCAGATAATTTAAGTTATTTCATCGTAGCAGACGAAAAAGCGCCAACTTGGCGTCAATAAGAGTAGCGGTAGCGTCTCGTGAGGAGCCCGATTTTTTCTTTTAATACTTGGCGTCGAGACGCTACCGCGTCTCTTGATGACATACTGACAGGTGACAGATAATGACATTTCATGTATGAAAATATTGGCAGGGCAATTGTTTTTTCGCGAAAGTTGTTACGGGAGAGTATTATACAAATTATATTATAAAACGATATTGACGGTTACCGGAGTTATATGCGCGGTGGAGAGGTAAAAACATATTTCATTAAACAGCGGAGTTTACTGAAATCTAATTATTTTTTAATCATGTGTAATGATTACCATACCGATCGAGCACACCTTAGTTGTGCGACTCTTAAATAGATGTCCTGTACAGCGAGGGATTGTCCCTACTACTAGCTAAAATCCGATATTCAGGCAATCTACCTGTCTATCTTTCGTTTTTCGCTCTGGACGACCGACAGAATACACGCACTAGCGTAGAGCCTAATCATCTAAACAGGTATTTTCAAATTTCAATTATACTTAGCACCACAAATTCTCCTAATTATTGCTATCTTCGTTCTTGGATTAACTAATGATCTATACAGACGAAAAAGGACTAGCGACAATAAATATAGAAATCGAAATAAGGAGTAGCCGCCTTCCAGAAAATATTACAACGATTTCTACACACTTGCTACATGTCTACGTGGACGACACACATGTTCAATCTACTCCCGTGAATTTCAAAGGCTTTGTGATGATGTTGCTCATAAAAGAAAGAGGAAATTAACGGACAACGCAACGCCACATCAAATTCTTCCATATGAACATAAGGAGTGAGAAACACAAAATTTTAATATACTGTTATGTCTCAGCCCTCCTATATACGACACTCGTTAACCCATACATATACACAGCCACTTATACCCATGGCCAACCCGTATTATTATTTTACCCCAACCTATACAGACATTATACACACTACATATGTCGATCAATCGTTTGATATAACTAATTTTATTGATTTATACTTATAAGTTTATACTTTTGTCTTGTTTTATATTCCATTATATTATTGGAATCTTTAATTATGTTATCATTTATTTGACCGGAAAAATGTTACGCTTGTTATTTCTATCAGGTATTATGTTCTTAAGGAATTTGTCATACCAATCCTTTATTATGTCTTGAAATAAAAGATAAACCTGAAGCTCCTTCGAGACTAACAGTACTCGCGAGGTTTCAGGTACAGAATTGGAAGACTCAGGTATGCAACAACAGATAGATAATTGTTAGTACTCTCATTTGTTTAAAGACCAATCAAATTCATGAGAAGTAATAGAAGGGATAAGAATGGAAGTCTTTAAAAAGGGTTGGAGAGGCTAAAAAGAGGTTCTGTTCTGTGGTAGAAGTGCGGCGTTGTGAAGTACATCAAGAAGTTTTGTAAAAAAGTGCAAAGTAAAAGTCAAAGTTTCGTTAACCATTATCGTTACTATCATTTACAAAACCCTGATTACAATTTCATCTGGATTGAAAGTCCATCCAAGCAACCTCATTAAATCATCATACTTCCAAGGAAGGCAATAAAAGGAAGCAGTTGAATTCCCTGGAAATCATTGGGTAAGCCTATGAGTACACTCACATGCAATCAGGTACACACAATAATTCATTCATACCCAGAATATCTAATTTACCTAAACGGTTTAAGAATACCGAGCAAAGAAACCATCAGTTCGTTCAGTTAAAAGTTATTCTAGTTTTCATTAATCAGGATATCATATCAGACTCAAGGAACAACCTTCCTTATATCGATCAAGGTATCCTCTGGAACCTATTTCCTATTCCTCCTGAATCTTATCTACTGGAACAATTGTCATAACGCGTGGACGTACCGTTTAGCACCGGCAATTCTGACCAACGAACCATCCTAACTACCTTTTCTAAATCAGCATTCACGAAATCTCTTTAACACTCAATCCGTCCTCTTAAATATTGAACGTAAGAACATAACCATATTCCGTGTATTTGGAGAGCGATCGTAACAATACTATAACCGATATACTGAAATCGTTTATAATCGCGCGTGATATATTAATTATTTTTATTTAAAAATCGTGTCGTCTCATTTATATTAATAATTTTAAAATTTATGTTGTATGTGTGTGTTGGACTGAATGACTTACGTGTCTGCAAATTCATTTTGATATATTTTTTATTAAAATATTAATTGCACTCTATTGATGTATCGCATCATTCCCTTATTATATGGTATTGTTACTCGATTTTTATGAAAAATTAAATTCCGCTTCTTTGGATATTTCTTGTTAAAACCATATTTATATTCATTCAAATAAAAGGTTAATATGAAAACATTACACATGATAGCAGCTGAGCTTTATTTTAAAAAATTTTCGCTCATTCATAGCAGAACACGGCTATCCCTCGATCGACCTTTCGCCGATGGCTTAGAAACGGCGAGCTTCAGGGTAACGACAGTCAAGATTGCCAATTGGTTGACGAAGTAAGTAAAGCCAGTAGGAACATAATAATTAATTAATGTGTTAAGAATTTTGGAGCGCTTCAGACTAGTTAAATCAGTGCTGAACATGTTTTACTGTTTTTACAACACCCATATCCAGAGAAATATTAATACATAATAATTCATGTTATTTAATGTACAAATATTTACACAAACGATTAAAAAAAATTAAGAATTGTTCTATCTAATATGAATTTCTGTACCCTTCTTAACGGGTTACACCACTTTAACAAAATGCATAGTGCTCTTGTTTAAATTCGCTTATATTCGCAGGAGACATGAATGTAATGGAATGGAGTGTGATGATACCTCGATTTCTTTTCAACAACCCAATGATATGCCACACCGTACGATTCAAAACTGGAGCATGATTCAGATTCGGAAATCGAATTGGAGGATTTCCGGGATGCTGAAAATAGAAAAAAAGAGCCACCGTGGATTCACCCACAATTATACACTGATTAGACTACCACCATTGGTGAGAGCGTGAATCTCATCCTCAGTTTTTTCCTCAAGAATTCCATCACTAAACGGTGCTTGGACTCTCTTTTGGAATTACTAACAAGGAAACCCCCCCAACCCGACCCCACCGATTTCAATAATTTTTTGATATGTTGTAGTACTCGACAAAATAAGAGACACGTATTTTTTTTTTGTGCTGACATCCACTTTAAAGGGGTGAAAACGACCCCTGAAATTCACCCCCGAAAATCGTTTTTTCATCATATCTCGACTTCTAATTAATATTTTTTAATAAAACCAAGTGGAAAATATTTGTCATAAGAAGTCGAAGATATGAGGTTTGTTAATGACCCAAGGGGTTGCAACCCTTATTTTATATTTTGAAAAAACTATATTTTTTATGCTCTTTTTCTGCATAAAAACCGGGGTATGCGCTCAAAAAAATAAAGAAAAGCGTTTCCGTTAACTCCATCAAATATTTCAGTTGGGGTGTTTCAGGATTTTTCAAAGGGATAAAAACCACCCCTAAATTTTACCCCCGAAAATTGTTTTTTATCATATGTCAGATTCTAATTGATATTTTTTAATAAAACAAAGTGGAAAATATTTGTCATAAGAAGTCGAAGATATGAGGTTTGTTAATGACCCAAGGGGTTGCAACCCTTATTTTATATTTTGAAAAAACTATATTTTTTATGCTTTTTTTCTGCATAAAAACCGGGGTAAGGGGTCAAAAAAATAAAGAAAAGCGTTTCCGTTAACTCCATCAAATATTTCAGTTGGGGTGTTTCAGGATTTTTCAAAGGGATAAAAACCACCCCTAAATTTTACCCCCGAAAATTGGTTTTTTATCATATGTCAGATTCTAATTGATATTTTTTAATAAAACAAAGTGGAAAATATTTGTCATAAGAAGTCGAAGATATGAGGTTTGTTAATGACCCAAGGGGTTGCAACCCTTATTTTATATTTTGAAAAAACTATATATTTTATGCTTTTTTTCTTCATATAAACCAGGGTATGTACTCAATATTTATTAATATTTTTTAATGAAACTATGATTAAAAATTATTTTTATAAGATTTATTTCTTCTTCTTCTCTTTTTATAATTAATTGTAAGTCACAGTATTTTATTCTTCAAAGTGTTGACAATAATGATTATCTTCAAAAAAGTGCTTAAAACATAAAGACTTCATTGCACTTGCAACTCCTTCAACTGCTAATGTTCTTCCAGAATGCATTTCTAATTGGAACCCACTCTGATCTGAATTATATAAATTTTCAATTCCAATTGATGATATAGAAGATTTCACATCAGCAACAAACATATCAGCCATCATTTGGAGGCCTAAAGTATTTTCCAATGTTTTCCTAGTAATAAATTTATTTATTTTTCTAGACACTATTCTGTGAGCCTTTTGGAATTTCGCTAACCAATTTTTAGAAGCTTTAAATCTTACATCTTCAGATCCAATTTCTTTTTGAGCTTGTAACGCCCATCTCCGTATATCGTGATCGTGAATAATTAAACCACTTTCAACAGCAGCTTTAAAATTATCAAGTGTGTATTGACAAATCCGTGCAATTTTTTCTCGGTACGTGCCACCTTCATTAATATTGTGAGCTCAACGTTTGAGCTGACTGATTGATGAGACTTTTCTGAATCTTCTTTACGCTGTTTCAATACTTAAGTTTTCTTTTCCCACTTCTCCAATATTCTACAGCTTTTTGTTTGTAATCAAAATTGATGTCTTCAGTATCTTTCGTACACTGATTTGTTGGTGCAACGTCAGGATCAGGAAAATGATGTTGAACTTCATCCTCAACTATTTCAGCATCACAATCCTTATATTCTTCCTCAAAATCCAAAGTATCCTCAAAAATCGTATCAACTTCATTGAAGTCATTTGCTGCATCGATTAATATTTGTTTCAATTTTTCTGACAACTCAATTTCTTTATAATTCGTCACACTATTGGGTATTTGTAAAGTTTGAAAATACGCTAGTAATAAATTCACTACATTTAAGGGATTAATCTTCATCTTTGAATCTAAAATATAAACATTAAATAATAACTCTTTATTACGAAGATTAATAGGTGTAGAAATATAAATTACAAAATACTCACATAACTACCTAAAAATTAGATAATTGGTTGTAAAAATATCCACACCACGTATGATATATTATAATGTTTTGTGTTTAACAATGACAGATATATATACATA